TGGGCTTCCAGGATGACGACACTTTTTACACGCCGCTGCCGCTGTATCACACCGCTGGCGGCATTATGTGCATGGGCCAGTCCGTGCTCTTTGGCTCAACCGTTTCCATTCGCAAGAAGTTCTCGGCCTCCAACTACTTTGCTGATTGCGCCAAGTTCAACGCGACAGTAAGTCCTTCATTTAATCACAATCTTATGGCTATAATTGTCACCTCTGTATTATGTTCTCCAGATTGGTCAGTACATTGGGGAAATGGCTCGCTATATACTGGCCACCAAGCCTTCGGACTACGATCGGAAGCATCGTGTGCGCCTCGTCTTTGGAAATGGATTGCGGCCGCAGATCTGGCCGCAGTTTGTGGAGCGCTTCGGCATCGCCAAGGTGGGAGAATTCTACGGAGCCACCGAGGGTAATGCGAATATTATGAATCACGACAACACTGTGGGCGCTATTGGATTCGTCTCGCGAATTCTGCCTAAAATCTATCCGATTTCCATTATTCGCGCCGATCCCGACACTGGAGAGCCCATTAGGAACAAGGACGGGCTCTGCGAGCTGTGCGCACCCAACGAGCCGGGCGTCTTTATTGGCAAGATTGTCAAGGGCAATCCGTCGCGCGAGTTTCTGGGCTACGTGGACGCCAAGGCCTCGGCCAAGAAGATTGTCAAGGATGTCTTCAAGCACGGCGACATGGCATTCCTTTCTGGTGACCTGCTGGTGGCCGACGAAAAGGGCTATTTGTACTTCAAGGATCGCACCGGCGACACCTTCCGCTGGAAGGGCGAAAACGTGTCCACCAGTGAGGTGGAGGCACAGGTCAGCAATGTGGCTGGCTACAAGGACACGGTTGTCTACGGCGTAACCATTCCCCACACTGAAGGCAGGGCTGGCATGGCTGCCATCTACGATCCCCAAAAGGAACTCGATCTTGACGTCTTTGCCGCCAATCTTGCCAAAACTTTGCCTGCCTATGCGCGGCCCCAGATTATTCGTTTGCTGACCAAAGTGGATCTGACTGGCACGTTCAAGCTGCGCAAGGTGGATCTGCAGAAGGAGGGCTACGATCCCAGTGTGGTCAAGGACGCGCTGTACTATCAGACGTCCAAGGGACGCTACGAGCTGCTCACGCCGCAAGTTTACGCGCAGGTCCAGAGCAACGAGATTCGCTTTTAGTGTGTCTGTTTTGCCTTTTGCCGATATGCTGTTAATTAATATGTAAGCTTCCCGCGAGTCGACTTAGTTCTTAGTTCAAAACCCAGCACTGGAGATGGGCCACTAGGCGAGTAAATTGTAGTCTTTCACTCACTCCCAGGCACTCACTCCTCTTCCATGCCAACTTGCACTTTGTTGTAGGCAAATCTTTTATATATTGTAGCAAATCGTAGTCTGAGCCTGAGTCTGGTATACGCATTTTGAATGCTTTTAGCCTGCTAAAAGAACCTTGTTAAGTGCAATTCTCGTTCGTTCGTCTCTTATTATTAGTCAGTTTTAGTGGCATTACACACTTCCATTTGCGCTGCTTTTCGCCTTTTGCCTCTGTACATACGAGAGAAGCTTTGTCAATGGCGAACGCCTTCTGATGCTTGTGTATCAAATAAAGTTTTTTTTCCTTCAATAATGATTGTATTTAAATGATCAGGGGGGAACTGCCTCCCCACCTGCATACAAATTCGCTGCTCAATTGGCAGCGCCAGACAGCTGTAGAGGCGAATGCGTTGACAATGCGCACACACACACACCATTCATATTGGTGTGCTTGTGTGTGTGGGAAACTTGAACTCTGCTGGCATTAAGCTTTAGAGTGCAGCCAAGGCATCCCCGCTAATGAGACGATTGTGTAATCCGCACCTGTGATTCATGAATAGTTTTGATAGTTAAATCTGTCAATCTGGTCTCCGTTAAATTGATTAAATAATATACGATAATATCATAGCATAGAATTCCTCAATTTATTCCAGCGTAATCGCTAAATGATCGTAGCGAAAACCGCAACGAAGAAACCGGCAATCAAGTAGTAATTATTTTTAATAAAATAGTATGACCCAAACAAGATATTCACGCCCCATTAATGGGCAGGTCAATCAGATTTTTATCGTACCAAGTAGGAAGCATTGTTAACAAATTAATTCCATCTTATTTGGCAAATTTTAGATCAGAAGTTCGTACATATTTACATATGTATGAATGTATGTACGCCTGTTCACCCATATATTTAGTCTTGGAAAGAATATACATAATTATTATAGTCATATTTGATATTGCACTGCTTAAGGTGGGTTCCGGTTCGGTTTTCTCACCGTTTCCTTGTTGTTCAAGCAAAGAGAGCCCTGCTGAATGGACCTAAAGCGATGACTGAGACGCTCTGGTGGTCCAGGCATCCATCGTTATATAGCGGTACATTGAAGATTTCCCCCAAAGCCGGGGGTTGCCCCCCAAAGGTACCCTAGTGTGAGGGTGGCTTGGGTGACAGCAATTGAAAGAGTAGTCGCTTTTATGACAAATGGCCATTTAGGTGTTAATTTAAAGTCTCGACCGATTAATATCGTCTTGACGACCGAGGCCGATTAGTATCGTTTGGGGTTTTTGTGTTGACTAAAAACGACTCTGCCGCCAAAAAGTTATAATTTGAGAAAAACCACAAATTGATTGCACGGATTTCCCCAAGATTTACACTGATATCCAACGGAGGTTTAAGTTATAAGCTTGAATAAGCCGCGAGCTTTAAAAGCTTCCAACTGCCAATACCCTAAATAATACCAACCGCAAAAGCACCTCCAGTAAGCACAAGCCAAGAACCGTTATCAGTTCAGCCAAGCGAAAGCCAACAACAAGCGAGTCTTTGAAACGCACTCGTCTGCAGTTGCATTACAACACGTGTGTTTGTGTGTGTGTCTCTGTGTCTGGGCAACAGATTATGCATCTGATCTGACGTACTGCCGTGTGTATAATTATTTCGATTTCGACGCAGGCACAAAGTCAGCTGCAATAACAAAATTGGTTTCCACTGCAACGATGACTGTTGCCGCGGTGCTCTTCTCGATCACGATACCCACAAAGGCGGAAGAGGAGCGTCTCAGAGATGTCTACTCCCAAGGGCCGAAAAGAGATGCACAGACAGCTACAGCAGTGGCCACATCCTCCGTCTCGACCGTTGAGACCTTGTCCACCATTCCCATCAGCGACTCGCGGAATGACTCTCCTGAGACTCCACAAATGGACAGCTTTTACAAGAGACGCAGCGACGTCTTGCCCACCATTCAAATCGAGGCGGTAAATGCCGGGTCCGCAGATCAGCTGCTGGACATGCCACTGGACACCGCACAGGAGCACGTGCTGCAGCAGATTCTTCGCAAATTTCACATCAGCCATGCCGTGTGGCTGAGCAGCATGGAGGGCACCCGCTATCACGTCAGCTTTTCGATGGATTTCGATGAGCAGTTTGAGAATCTTTACGAGGCGCTACAGGAGTGGGGCATAGGCGATCGTGAGGGCTCCACGGTGTCTGTGGTCAGCTGTCTGGCCAACAGATCTTATGTGCAGCGCGAGCAACTCGAGGAGGCGGATTCAACCACGAGCAGCGGCGAGTAATACCCTCCGCATAGACAATGGACGGATCATAGTAATCATAGTCTTCGTTTTAGAAACATTAATGCCCAGAAGACTGGTGCCTGGAATCGTTTTATGAACTCGGTGCGCTCTCGCCTGAATGTGGCCCAAATACTGCGAGACGTTCGTCAGGATGCGGCGATAACGTTCGACTTTTGCGTACTTCTCGTTTCGGCAGCGTGAGAAACTATTGATTGATTGTTGATATGCCAGTTCGGTGACCTTTTTGCATTCGTTTCAGAATTCTGGCCAGCTTCGGTTTGGTGGAGAACAGCACAATCTTTCTGGCTTCCAGCATGTTGATTTCCCCGCTGATGGGACCCATTATTGCTGCTATCTTTGGCACGGTAATCGAGGATCGTTCGCTGCGTCGCCTGGGCATGCTGAACGAGCTGATTGGCATATTGATAGCCACACTTGTGGGCTTCCTCTTTGGGCTGGTCGTCTGCACCACGGACAAGAAGTACGGCATTGGGGAAGGTCTCACCGAGGAGATGCTGTCGCGCTGTGACCTGCATTCGCTGATCGTCGGCGTCTTCACAGCGATTCCGTCTGGAGCTGCGGCAGCCATTGCCATACTCGGCGGGAATATTGGCTCCCTGGTGGGCGTGGCCATATCTGCCTCGCTGCTGCCTCCGGCTGTGAACTCTGGTCTACTGTGGGCCCTGGCCTGCATTTACAAGTTATTTGAGAACGACGACTCGCTCTATGTGGACGTGATCAAGTCTAGGAAATACTCGGAGAACCAGGCAAAGGAGCTGGCCGTGCTGGGCAGCATCAGCATGTGCCTGACCCTCTCCAACGTTCTGTGCGTTTACTCGGTAGGTATTTTGGTGCTGAAGGTAAAGGAGATAGCGCCGGTCATTGGACGTAAGAACAGGCAATTCTGGAAGCACGACATCAAGCTGGCACGTCAGTGCAAGGTGGAAACGGATGCGGAAATAATCGACGAGCTGCTGGCCAACCTGGCCACGGAGGACAAGCAAGCGATGGGCCTCAATAGAGACATTCTGCGTCACCTCGATGAAACGCTTTACCAGCACACATGGTCGCCGCTCAGCAATCGTCACAGCTCCGTTCATCCCCCCGGCTTCTCCACCATCCATCGCCTGGAGCAGCTATACACGAATCGAATAGGGAATCCTCCCGCAGAGCGTCGCCAGCGCCACAGCGTGACGAGCCGACCATCGCACAGGAGCAACGAAAACAGCCACCATCTGAGCCCACCACAGCCTGTGAGTCCTGCATACTTTTTGCTGGCCAGTTAAATAATTTCTCACTTCTTTCGATGCCGATCCCAGCGCCCTCGCTTTGCCAGTATGCCCTCGAGCTTGAGGAAGAACGAGCCGCCAGAAGAGACCATCATCCAGGTGGCCAGCTCCAAGCGCTTTACAGTCACACCTGCTCGAGAGGAGCGTTGAGAATTTATAGTTTCTTTGTGTTAAATGTCTACGTGTAATGATGAATCTTTGTGCAACAATTTTCAATAACAATTAGAAGTCCACACCCCCTGGGCCTTGCCGATCCGCCTTGACCTGAGCGCGACCTCGTTTGAGCTGAAGACGCTCGCGGGCTGCCCGCTCTTGTCGCCGGCGCACTCTTTCTAGTGTCTCCTCGCTGGGCGCTGCCACCTCAACTTCCTGGGCCCGGATGACGGTGCGCAGCTTCTCCAAGGCATCAGCCAGATTGAGCTGCTGGGAACGGCTGACGTCGCTCTTGACGTAGTAGTAGCCTTCCTTGGTGATCTTGTTTGCCAGCACCTTGAGCAGCTTCTGGCGCGTTTCTTCTGGTATCCACTGCGCCTCGGCCAGCTTGAAGCGAACGTCCACTTTGGTGTTCACGGTGTTTACGTGCTGGCCCCCAGGTCCAGAGCTGCGACTATAGGTAATCTCCAACTTATCCATAGGTATGTAGCCATTGAACTTGTTTGCACTCCCTGGGGGCTGTAATACAACGCTATAAGCAAGCAGTCGCCGAAAGAAGTAAATCTTACACTTACCGGCGGGGGCGGCGTATAGAGCTGCAGGCGTGCACTTGGGTAAATTTTGTCCAGCGACAAGTCGCTTTTGTAGGACAACTGTCGACCCAGGAGTGTTGAGCTGGTGCAAGTGGAGCTGCTTTGCCGCAGTACGCTTATAAAAGCACGCGTAATTTTATTCATTTTTAGCCAATTTTAACAATTTGTTACGAGATGGACTTATCGATAAAATATATCGGCACAACAATATACCGAAATATACCAACTCATTTTCAAAATATACCGTAAATATACCATATCGTAAATAATTTTCGTCGATTCAAATAGAAAGATAATGCTCTAGAGATATGGCTGGCGCAGTTGTTGTGCTCGACAATGGGGCATACACAGCCAAGGTGGGCCTGGCGAACCAGGAGGAGCCGCGAGTTGTCCCAAATTGCGTAATGAAGGCCAAGAGCGAGCGGCGGCGGGCGTTTGTGGGTAATCAAATCGAAGACTGCCGCGATACCTCGGCCCTGTTCTACATCCTGGCCTTTCAGCGTGGCTACCTGCTAAACTGGGAGACCCAGAAGACTGTGTGGGACTACATCTTCAGCAAGGAGGGCATCGGATGCAGCCTGGAAAATCGGATCATAGTCATAACGGAACCGCAGATGAACTTTCCCAGCGTGCAGGAGGCAATGCTGGAGATGCTCTTCGAGCAATATCATGTGGCCGGTGTTTATAAGACGACGGCAGCCGATCTGGCGGCCTTTAACTATGTCACCGACAGCAAGGAGCGCACCACGATGCAGACCCTCAACTGCATTATCATTGATGTTGGCTACAGCTTCACCCACATTGTGCCGTTTGTGCTGGGCAGGCGAGTGCTTGAGGGCATTCGTCGCATCGACATGGGTGGAAAGGCGCTGACTAATTACCTGAAGGAACTCATCTCCTACAGGCAGCTGAACATGATGGACGAGAGCCATGTGGTGAACCAGATCAAGGAGGATGTCTGCTTTGTGGCCGAGGACTTCAAGGAGGCCATGCGGGTGCATCAGTGCGAGCAGAAGCGCAAGGAGGTGGCCGTCGACTATGTCCTGCCCGACTTTACGACCAACAAGCGTGGCTATGTCCGGATACCGGCGCGGCCACGCATGGACGAGGAAACAATGCAGACAGTGCCGCTGTGTAACGAACGCTTCACCGTGCCCGAGCTGCTCTTCAATCCATCGAACATTGGCATCCAACAGGTGGGCATACCGGAGGCGGTGGTCGATTGCCTGAAGGCCTGTCCCTGGCAGGCCCATCGCGAGCTCTTGCTTAACGTTCTGATTGTGGGCGGCAGTGCTCAGTTTCCCGGCTTCCTGCCGCGACTCAAGAAGGATCTGCGCGCTCTGGTGCCCCACGATCTGGAGGTGTCGTACATCTGCCCCAAGGATCCAGTCCGCTATGCCTGGTACGGCGGCAGGAAGGTGGCCAAGAGTGCCAATTTCAAAGAATTAGTCTACACGCGCGACGAGTACGAGGAATTTGGAGTCCATGGGATAAACCAGCGGTGAACGGGATTTATTTTTACCAGAAAATGAGAACCTACCAAATGTATTTACGTGAGCACCCTTCTTATTTTTAAAAACAAACCTAAGATCGCTATCGATACGATATACAGTGCGATGCCTTTTAAGCGACTTAATTCAAATTACACAAAAACATTCCATAACCGTAACCGTAACACTTCGTTTAATAAATATTTAGCCGATTTCGTGTTAATACACATATATCCGTATATATCCTACCGTTTGGGCGTGTACTTTGTAATGGCTTTTCATGGCACAACAGTAATCATCAGGGAAACTGGTTTGACTAGTTTTTGCCTGCCTTTGTTTTGTGGGCTTTGAATACAAAGGAAGTACGATTGTAAGTGGTCCGTGGCACGAAGGAGTCGTTACAGGCCACCCTCTGGGGGTGGCAGCAGCAAGAGAGCAATAACAGCGAAATGCATTGAGCCCAATGCACACAGCCCACCACTGTGAGCAGTGGAAAGAATCATTACCAAAGGGAGTGGAATGGCAGACTCATGAAGCAACTATATAAGGAGGTCTCGTTACTCAGCGTTACTCGTCGTACTTCCTAATTTTCAGTGCTTGTTTGCTTGTCGACGCGGAAGGTTGGGCCCTCACAGCCCTTTCACTCGCACTTATTGACTGCATTGTCAGCTTCCCTAGTTTTTGCCGACGAGACCTCCTTATATAGTTGCTTCATGGGCAGACAGCTGCTGATAACATTATGCTCTTCTGGCGCGCGCTCTCTCTCTCTCTCGCGCCACGCTCTATTCATGAAGTAATTATATAAGGAGGTGCCGTCGGCAAAAGTGCTCTACTATCTATGCTGTTTGCAAGTGCGATTGAAAGAGCTCTGCGCTGTGTGAGTGAACCGAAACTATGAACAAGCTACTACTTGAAACTAGTCGTTATTTTGGCTTTTTTAGTAGATTTTGTAATTGCTTAGGCTCTTAATTCTAAAAAATCAAATTTTATTGGCCAAAATGGGAAAGTCATTTTCTGCGCTAATATGCTTAATATGGGGGGTTAATAGGGTTAAAAAAACAACGAAAAAATTCGTCCGCACACAACCTTTTGCATGAACAAGAGAGCACTGAACCTCTCTAGGCCGAACAAACCCGAACGCCGACACGACAGCATCACCTTATATAATTACTTCATGGCTCTATTGCTCTCCTATGTGAGAAGTGAGAATATATCAGCTAGTCAAGCGTTCATATTTTTCAGTTATCTTTCGCGGCACCGCACAATTGGAATCACAATTCACAGTCACATTTGGAAAAAAACATTTCGTGCCTGCGGTCCAACCCAACGCGCGTTTTCCTATTTCGTTGCATTTGTTGTGTTCTAAAGTGACATACATATGCATGTATGTATGTATGTTTGTACATATAATTACGCGCGGTATGCTCAACCGTTAATTTTTGCAATGTGCAGTGCGGGTGTGTGTTTGTGCTTGCAGCTCCATGAGCTCTTATCAAGAGCAACTTTTACATACATATAGAGATAATCAGTATACCATTCGTCAATCGAACAAAATATTTTGTGGTTTACATTGAGTTGAGTTGAGTTTGAGGGTTTTGACTTAGCCTTTGTCCCCTCAGACAACCCACAACTCCACGGTGCGCTCCCCACTCCTGATATCAAATGTGTTGATAAGCCGCAAACAACGGAGAGGGGAGCGTTAGACCCTGACACTTGAGAACTACATACTAACTACTTAGTAGGAGGAACGGAACCTACAAAAGCACTAGTAATCGCGAACGGTGGAGCTGACAAAGGGGAAAATAAGACGGCGGATAGGCCAACACTCATACACCGAAAGAAATATCAGCTGGCCTATGTAGGCTCGATCGTTTTGCATTTGGATATATTAAAACTAGAAACGAAGTTCGCTTAAAAGCTATGATTTTACCAAAAGCTATGTGTAATTAATTAATTAATATTCGTGCTGTAATTGTACCCGAGTCCCAGGAGAAGATGAGCTGAGTCGAAACAAAGGCGAGAGAGAACAACGCGGTTCTAGATGTGTACACATATACATATGTACATACATATATGAATTTGCAATAAAATGAGGTTTTAAGTGCATTCGGCGTACGCTACAAAACAAAACAAAAGTCTCTGGCATATTTACTTTGTAAAAATCTTTGTGACGCGACAAATACATTGCGAAAGTGAACAAATTTTCAGACGCTCCCCAAGTGCTTTTAATGAATTGAACGATAATAATTTAATTTTAAAAAGTACTTTATTTGTACAAGCATTAAATGCGGAAAAGTTTGATTAAAGCGGTGTACTTGCAGGGCATTCAACTGTCACCTTAGCGTTACACCACAAGAGAGCAAGTAGATTTGTCTATGCATTCGCCTCTTTCGCCCTCCATGTGGGACAGCTGTCTGGGCACAGCAACACGTGTAGCAAAGAGAGAGATAGTGAAATAGATATAAACAGAAGAAATATAAAAACAAACCACATACAACTGTATGTAAATACATATGTATGTACATATGCATGCGTTTATGTAGCTTCCATTTACCCTCCCAGTGGATATTCTGGTTTTTTTAGGGCATGGTCTGATTAGCAACAGCACAACCTCCGCCCCCGACATACATACATTCATATGTATGTGCATATTATTCTCTTATTATTCTCTTGTTCGACTTTTTATTTTATGAGATGTCTGCTCCCCGCTCTGTTCCCATTCACCATTTCAATAAGCGAATGAACTCACTCACACACACAGACGTAGTTAAAGAGCGAAATTAAAATTCAAATGAGAACTCAACACAACACGCACACACGCAAACACAACCGCGACGCTGAAATCTAACTTATTTTAATTGTTGACGACGCTCCCGAATACAGGCCTATGCGAGACGAGAAGCGAAAAACGAAAAGGGAATTTAAGTGAAAACAACAAAAATGTTTAACAGCACGAAATAGGCTGAAAGTGAATTAAAAATTTAAGAAGTAAAAGTGAACCTTAGTACCGTTCATGTGAAGGTTGGGAAGGCCCAAAGATCAAAAGTGATACCACATACTCCTCACACACACACATACACACACCGTTGAAACCATGTCCAGCTGGAGTTTGGCCAGTGCCGTCTCCCCGAATGTAACAGGATCTGACGTCATCCGGCTAAGCAGCCTCAACTCGCGCTCCGATTCAAACCTGACAGCACCATCCCGTCCAACGACCCCTGTGCCTGCCAAGAAGTTGGCCTCCAAGCGTCCCCCACATCTGACGTTGCACATTCGACCCACAGCTGCTGCCCCGCCCCAGTCCCACGATGCGCCGTTGGCCGAAACCGAGAACAGTGCTCTGTCGGACGGGGGCCCATCCATCTACGGCACGCCTCTGGGTGCGACGCCTGCCAGCAGCACTAGCCATCGCAGCAACAGCAGCACGAGCGGGTCCATATTCCCCCACGAACAGTATAAAGCCATCAAGAAGATCAATATTGGCTTTGAGAACGTTCTCTACAGCACCAAGTTTGGTGTCTTCAAGAGGGGTGAGCGGCTAATCGATCATAGAGAATTCATTCTGTGCTTTATGTTGAATTACATAAGTCGTATACTACATAGTAATTTCATATTAAATAAGTTATTGTCACGCATATGATACAATCAAGAGGGACATCCCCAAGGTTATACATACATACATATGTACATTTTCGTACGTTTACATGTAAATATGTACATATGTATATTGGATTGCAAAGCGGCAGTTACGCATTGTTAGAAGCTATAATTCTTCGTCGACAATTTGAATATATGCATGTACATATGTATAAGTGGTACATAGTACCAGTTGCTTTTTTCTATGTTAATGTTATTTCTGTTCATCTATGTTCTTTCTGTTTAAAGCGTGTTCATTTAGACATCATTCAACTCCAAATGAAGTTATAATTATCTGAACCATCACCTAGCTATAAAGTGCAATTTCCGATAGTCTCGGCTCATCAATTTTTAAACTGTGACCTAAACAGCCATGAACAGATGGACAGACAGTTATTTTGTACTTTGCACGAGACGAAAATTAGGTTGGTAGGACTTCCTCATACTTGGAATTTGAAATAGGATACATGTGTACCTTAAGACAGGTATGAAGAACCAACGATTCATTTCAATGAATCTACTTGGGCGCTCTATCAGTGCTTACAACAGCTCAGAGAACGCAATACATATGTATTCAGCAGCAGTCATCATACGTGTATTTACAAGTTACTGATTGAGCGAATCACTAGAGTTCAAAGAGCTTTTTAAATTAAATTAAACAAAATGCTTGCAGCAATAAAGGAAGTATAGTTTTCAATTACTTACATGGTCAGGGCCAAGTATGGAGGTTACTATTATAATTGAGGAATATATACGCACGCATATGTAGTGTGTAGACCTTTTATGTATTTGCATAAGTTATCTGGGTTTAACTGGCTTATTTGTATACCATTGACAGTCCCTAAGTTCCCCGTAACGATAAGGACTGACGCTTACAATAAATGTTTGCGCTTATCTTTTTGGTGCTCAAAAAATGTGAACTCGTCCGAATGAGTCATTCATGTGCACTTTCAATAGATAGCTCTTCTTTAATGGAAATTTAAGTGATAAAGGTAGGTCCACAGGCAATAAACTCCCAAATGACTCATGGGTTAACTCTTTCATTGGTGTCCTAATACGAATTATGACACGGGACAATCCCTGATTGTATGTCTGTATGTATGTACATATGAATGGTATTTCGTTGAAGCTTGCTCGAGCTTTGAAATTGTAAACGAGAAATAAAATGAATCCAACTAGAACTCTTCATGAAAAACAGGACGACGACGCCGCAAGTATAAGCTTTTACCAAACAAATCACACATACTCAGGCTCTTTTTATTCCTTGACCTCTTATCAAGCAAACTTTGATCAAGGCCACTAAGAGCAGTAGAACGAACTCCCATATCTATCCGACACCATTTGAAACATAAACCACATGAGGTACAATGTTGCTCGTGTTCCATATCTATAGATTTTTTTTCTATAACCGTGGAACCGATAACGAGTGCTTCATATAACGTAAAAATGGTTTCGAGCTTCAAACGATTGCAGTTTACATTTTTCTATACATAATGGAGGTGTGTTTTACATACATAAATACATACGTAAATACATACATATGTAATTCGTAACACAATGTCGAAAACGGAAATACGACACAATGAATTGCACGCACTTGATGGACACACCAGACATCAGCTTGACCAAATGACTTGGGACTACCGATAAAACAGTATTCTAAGCTACATGAAAAGGCGCAAACGTTTTAATTGATATCACTTAAGATCCATTAAATGGATTTGATTCTAGTTTTCAATGTCGTGTCGTCATTGTCGTCGTTCGCTGTGTGTCTGTGTGCATTTTCCATGCTTTCCCTTTCTATGATTTTATTATGGCGAGAGTTCCATCAAAAATACAGCTTTATGTTCGCACTTACAAAGCAGACTTTGAATCCAACTTTGAATTGACGTGGACAGCTGAGGCTTCCGCTGAACTGTTTGAAGTTTGCGAGATCTAGAGGAAAGATTTTAGATTGCGGGACGACTTAATTTCAAAATTTGAGACATAAACGGAGGCATTTGAAGCATTTTTGATTACAAGATCGTGACAATTACTCATGCTAGCTGAAATGCTCTTTTAAATCTGTTTTCACTTGACAAGAAAGAGACCCTCCGTAGCTATAATTGATCTAGTTAAACAAATACAAATCTAATGGCATAAAGAAGAAATTTATATTTTGTATTACTGCTAAGTTTTGAGGAAGAAAAGGGCAAAGGTTCTCCTTTCAATCTGCGTATCTATTACAATACCCACTAATATTTAGTGCTCATTCATCGTGACAGCGGAAAGACCTTAAACCTTGACTAACCTTATACTTCTCAACCGCACTGTTTGCACAGTCACAGATTTGTCGAACTAATTCATTGCTTTATGTCTTTCACATGCCCATAATCCCAATTCCAATTGGAAAATGCATTACCAAGTACAAGGCCATCCGCATGACACCGATAAGAAGAAGTCAGTTCGAGAAATGCAATAAATGTGGCTGCGGGACACCTGTTCCTGTCCCATAACAGCGAACAAAAAAAAACGACTTTTAGTCATACTCGTGGAAGTGTTGCGATAAGATTTGACGAGAAATTGATTGATAAGTATCCACACCAGACCCCTGGAATCTAAGTTGGCCAGTAGCCATGGCTAATCGGCAGATTAAGTCGACTACAATGTAGTCTGCCCTATGTAGCAGCCTGCCAATGCGGATCCCGATATGATCCACTACTCGACAATTGAACTTAAAATGCCTTTATGCCAAATGAAATAGAATGAAAAGCATGCAAAAGGCGATTAGCGATTCCGTGAAGGCGTAAATGAATGAGTTTCGCTGCGCTTATCAGTGGGAGGACAGAGACGAGTGAGATTCTGGGACACAGCTGTAACATAGGCACTAATCTCGCTCCGTATTTATTGGTTGTTCTTGCCCCTATTGATTAAATGGAAGTCTGCGATTGCAGTGTGCATAATACATAATTACATACATAATTAAGGAATTAATATTAATTCTCATTTGCTTACAGAAATCAAAGACGTGCTCGTGGGTCCGACGGGTTACTTCAAGTCTGGTGAGCTGAGTGCCATCATTGGACCCTCTGGTGCTGGCAAGAGCACGCTGCTTAACGTACTCTCAGGCTACACGTAATGTAACCCCGCACCTTAACCTTCCTTCCATCCATGCTCATCAGTATAAGTTTTCTATCCCCACTCTAGAACCTCTGGCTACACGGGAGACTTTCGCATCAATGGCAATCGGAGGGATCTGAAGGCGTTCAAGCAAAATGTGGCGTTCATCAGGCAGGACACGAGTCTGCAGGCATTTCTAAGTGTCAAGGAGGCCATGCACTTTGCGGCAAACCTCAAGATTGGCACACACATGACGGATGGCGAGAAGCGAGAGCGGGTGAAGTGCATTCTGGAGGCCATTGGGATGTATGAGAATCGCCACACAATGACAGGCCATCTGAGCGGAGGACAAAAGAAGCGTCTGGCTATTGCTTTAGAGCTAGTGAACAATCCACCTGTGCTAATACTAGACGAACCAACCACGTAAGTTGGATAACAGACCACAGATCTCACTTGATATTTACTTGACATCTCCGACATGCAGCGGCTTGGACAGCTTTACCTCAAATCAGCTGATTAATCTGCTGAAGAAACTAGCCATCGAGGGACGCACTGTCATCTGTACCATACACCAGCCGACAGCGCTGACCTTTGCCATGTTCGACTATCTGTATGCCATTGCCGAGGGAAAGTGCATCTACGCGGGCGGCTCACAGAACCTTCTACCCTTCCTGGGTGCCCTCAATTTGCATTGCCCGGAGTATTACAATCCAGCGGACTACTGTAAGACTCCTGTCCCATTTTATCAAAAGTTTAAGCCTAATAAGTGTATTTTGTTTTAGTAATGGAGATAGCAACGCATGACTATGATACGGAAGATGAGAATCAGGTGGACAAGCTTGTGGCGCTCATAGACAATGGACGGAATGAGGATTACAGACAGAACAAAACCGCACGAGTTGCTCAATTGGCGGCCATGAAAAGTGTTGGTAAGAATATACAGCAAAATCTAGAATAAAACAGCTCTTCATTTAATATCTTTTCTGTATTCAAGATCAACAAATGGCAGCTGGACTGATCACACCCGTCACAGCACCCATAATGTCAACCTCTGGCAGTCCCGCACACTACCAACACCAACAGTCGCACAGCTTTAGGCCACTGACGCCTATAAAGGAGCTCTCCTCGCGAGTCTGGGATGGCCAAACGCCGGGCATTGGCAGCGGCGATGTCGGCAACAAGTCAAAGCCAAAGAAAAACAAAAAGAAGAAGAAGCCAGCGCTAGAGCTAGATCCAAGCCATCTTTGCAATCGTGATAATATCTATGCGACGCCCTTCTATCGACAGCTCAGCATACTGCTGCTGAGAGCCTTCCTGCTCATTTGGCGCGACAGTTCGTTAACCACGATGCGGTTTGGGATACACCTGATCACCGGCCTGCTGATAGGAATTTTGTATTTCGGAATCGGCAATGATGCCGCACACACGCTGAACATCTTTCGTTATGTGTTCTACTCGATTATGTTTGTCATGTACTGCGCCTTCTCCGGAATACTCGTTAAATGTAAGGCCCCACCCATGCCAGTTGATTGTGTAAACTCCACTAATTCTTTTATAATTTCTAGTTCCCTTGGAGTTCCCGATTGTGTCGAGGGAACACTTTAACCGATGGTACTCCCTGCGTGCCTACTACGTGGCCATTACTGTGGCCGATCTACCCATACAGATCATATGCAGCGCATTGTTCATAGTGCCCACATATCTGATGACCCATCAGCCTATGGAGTTGTGGAGGTTTGGTATGTTCTTCCTGATTGTGTTCCTCACAGCTCTGGTGGCGCAGAGCATTGGACTGGCGGTGGGCGCTGCGTTGAGCCTGAAAATGGGCTCCATTCTGGGACCGTTCTTCATTTGTCCCTTCCTTCAGTTCAGCGGCTTCTTCTTGATGGAGAAGGATGCTCCCAGCTACATGCGCTGGATGTTCGACATATCGTTTCTTAAATACAGTCTGGATGGAGCTATGATGGCCATTTTCGGGTACGGTCGAGAGCGTCTCGACTGCCAGGAGATGTACTGCCACATGACGCGTCCCAAATATATACTCAAGAACTTGGACATGGCCGAGGCCAACTACAAGTTAGCCATAATATTTCTGCTCTGCCTGTTTGTCTTCCTTCGCATCATTGCCTTCTACATTATGTCGTTTCGACTCCGACTGTTCAGATGAGAAGCTTGCAGAAGAGGATGGAAACCTCCTCCTGACACATTCCGATGACAGATTGAAACTGGATTTCAATTAATGGTTTCTTTTAAAGCATTTATTTGAAAGGAACTTTTGTGCCAAAGATTGAAGAAGTCTAGAGTAGATCGTAAGGAAATCGTGATACATTTTACTGAAAATAACGCAACCTCCTCCCATACACCCATGCCCATACAAATATACATTACAGAGATCAATACTGTCTGTATATACGTATACAATTTTTATGACATATGTATAGTGTACACACAATTGTATTTTTGTATTGTATTGTGAACGATTTATTGACTAGTTTTAATGTGAGTCTGATTTTCAGACCTTATTAAAATACTTTCTGAAGAAAATGTAGATTTTCAATTTTATAACTACTGTTGTTTGAATTTGCAGAAATGGATAGGTTTTACAATCTCTAAATTAATTAAATTAATAATTTAGAGAGATTATCTAAATGCACATCGATGTCGATAGATCATGATTTTTAATCTTCATTTTTTAAATTTCAAATTTATCCGCTAGATCGGCAGTTGCAAATATACGATGGATTCCGATTTAGCAAATATCAACTCTGAATTAATTCTGCTACATAGCAAAAACACAGAGTGGAATTGTGTTACGGCGACACCTGACGACAAGAAGCCGCGTTGCACAGTGGTCAAAATGTCCACTGAAAGTAATTGAAAAAACGTTGCGAGTTGTGTTGCGTTTTGAATATCAATGGAAAGTTAGTCCGCTGGCGATCGGCAGTGCGTCGCGTCTCTGTCTCTCTCTCTTAATTGACTGAAGCTGATGCCTACGCGGCACAGCAAATAGTGATACGAAGTTGATTTCTTTACGCATCCATATCCATACCCATAAATAATAAAAGTGCAAACCTGGAGGTGTTTAAATGCTTACACCGTATGTCTATAAGTATATAAATTTGCATTCGTTGGGAAAACCCTTTGGGCCAATGAGCAAAACCAGTTTTAATGACCAACTGCAAACTCTGCAAATATTTTGTGTGGAAATGCATAAGTGCATGCACGAAAGTATTCACTGATAAGCGGTTGCTGGCACTGCTTGTGCACAGCTAAAAAATGCCGATCCGATCCCAAGTGCAGTTTCATTTTGTATATTACGCAGTTTGATCTGGACACACACGCACACTCTCAAATGTAGCGGTCTTTGTTTCTTGTCGGACAAAGTGTATCAATTACTCAATTAATAGTAACACCCGGGTTACTCGCATGTTGCCGGGCTAATGGATAGCGACAAGGGGAATAATTATTCGTTTCACGAAGGGTAAATACTTGTTCGCTGATAGTGCAAGTGTGTCAATGAAGTGGCTTCCACCAGTGATGCATGGTGCATTCCGATTAGCCAGCAGCTAATCCACAAGATCCACATGATCCACAAGCTCCACAAACTTAAGCCTAGAACACTGCTGCAGATCCGATTGCAGGTGAGGCGCAGTCTGGTTCCTGGGAAACAGGTCTAGTCGGGTTGGACGACCTTGATTAAATCCAACACGGGGGATAAGATTATCCATAATTCCCTACCCATGAGCGTCGCAGTCGTGTTGTTATCTACCGAAAGCTCACAGGCAGCGGAATTTAAAATAACTTTTCACTCAATAAGAGTTGATAAAAGCAGACGGATGCTCAGTTTTGGTGGTTTGTTGACCGAGTGAGGGTGCAATCTCTCGCATAAACAATCTTTTGCATTCTATACAGAATTCCATGAGTAACTGGATCGCATCGGTCGTAAATAAAGAGCAGCAGACGTACAATGCCCGATAACGACGACAATGTTGGCGCAGGGCAGGCAAATGGCTTGGCCCACGCCAGACAGCAGGCATTGGAGCTGCATTTCAGCCAAGTTAGCTACAACCTGAAGAGTGGTAGGTGGCAGCTATCAAGATCATCAAGTGCCTCACAATTGTGTGTCTCTTTCATTAGCCACAAATGGCTGCACGCAGATACTGAACGAGGCATGTGGCAGCTTCAAATCTGGCAGACTGACGGCCATTCTGGGTCCATCAGGGGCTGGTAAATCCACATTGCTCAATGCTTTGGCTGGTTTCAAGTGAGTAAACCATTTAATGCATCCATCTGCAGTTGACTAAACACAATCATGCTCAATCCAACAGAATTAGAGGAGTTTCGGGGCAGTTTCTTTTGAATGGTCGACCCAGAGATCTGATGGCATTCAGAAAAATGTCGGCCTACATTCCCCAAGACTTTGTAATGCTGAATCTGCTGACTGTCGAGGAAACCCTGTGGGTATCGGTAGACCTGAAGACGCCCAGTGCAACAGCCGCGCAGGAGAAGCAAAAGATTGTTAGTAGAAGCAACGATCGCCAATCAAACACCCTGCTAATCACATGCATAAAAAATGCTCCCTAGATAGATGACATCATAGACATACTGCAGCTGCAGTCCTGCCGAAAGACTTTAGTGGGCAACATCTCAGGCGGTGAGCACAAGCGACTGTCCATTGGCATTGAGCTCGTTACGAATCCGCCCATCATGTTCTTCGATGAGCCCACCAGTGGCTTGGACTGTGTGGCCAGCTATCAGGTGATTTGCCACCTGCAACGGCTCGCCCATGATGGCAGAATTGTGGTGTGCGTGGTGCACCAGCCAGGCTCGCGTTTGATGCAACTGTTCGACGATGTTTTGGTGCTAGCTCATGGCGAGGTTTTGTACGCCGGCGAGCAGCGACATATGCTGGACAGTTTCGCTGGTGCTGGCTTCACCTGTCCACAGTACTATAATCCAGGAGACTTTGGTAGCGTAAACTTTTAGATTATTTTGCTCTATTGGGAAATCTAACTCATGTCTCTGCCCACAGTGCTGGAAGTGTGCAGCGAGTCCTCCACCACGCAGCGTTGCGATACGTTAATCTCACAAAATAAAGGCAGGCATTGCCACAGCAACGGCACCAACTTCGAGAAGCTCAATGTGGCTGAGGAGGGTAAGTTGCACAGGGTAAACCGGAAGCTAAGCGTGTCTTAAACAGACCCCTCCACAATGCACACTTTCTGCCCCACTTTCTCTGTCCTTTCCACTGCTCTATCTGTTGCACTTTTTTGCCTGGCTATCTTCCATTTCAGCAGCGCTCATTGAGATGCCACAACAAGCTGTCTGGCTGGATCAGAGCCAGCTGAGGGTCAAGGAGCAGGTTGGCTTCTGCTTCCAGCTGCGAGTGCTGTTGCGGCGGCATCTGCGCTCCATGTCCAGGGATATGGTGGGTGCACATCGATCTCTCTCGTATTTACATAAATTTACCCTTTCTTCTCCACGCAGTTTGCCGTCCAGCTACGACTTATTATGCATGTGGTGATCGGTCTGCTGCTTGGCGTTGTGTACTGGCAAATAGGCAGCGATGCCGCCAAAATTGTGTCCAATGTCTCTTGTCTGTTCTTCATCATTCTGTTTGTGTTCACGGGCAATGCCATGCCCTCGATCCTGCTGTGCCTGCAGGACTCTGCGGTGTTTATCAGGGAATACTACAACGGCTGGTACTCCCTGCGAGCCTACTACATATCCAAAGTGCTGGCGGATCTACCCCTGCAGCTCACCTGCCCCACAGTGTTCATCAGCATCAGCTACTTTATGACTGGCCAGCCGCCGGAGTTCGATCGTTTTGCCATGAGCTGGGCCATCTGCCTGATGACCGCCTTTATTGGCCACTTCGTAGGCGTAGTGGCCGGCACGCTGTTCCCCATGCAGCTGGCCATATTCCTGGTGCCCAGCTGTACGATTCCGTTTCTACTCTTCTCTGGGTTCTTCATTCGCTTGAATGAACTCTCCTGGTTCCTGCGTCCCATCTGTGATGTCTCCTTCTTCCGCTACATATTCGAGGGGCTGCTGCGCGCCATCTATGGTTATGGCCGCGGCGAACTGGACTGCCATGCGACATTTTGCTACTACAGAACAGCAGATCAATTTCTCACAGACTTTGCCATGGATGGCGATGAGTTCAGCTGGGATCTCGCTGTGCTTGGGGTGTATGTCCTGCTGCTTTTGCTTTCATTTTATGTGACACTAAACGTTTGCATAAGGCGAGCTTTAAGGTGACAATTTTCTTAGTTTCTCCAATGTAGTTCATGTAAATAAAGTATTTATACAGGAGTAAAGCATCACCAGAGCTGGTACCTAATCAATAGAGACACTGGATATGTCCATGGAACTGGCATCATCCGAGGGTGGCCGCTCGGTGGGATTGGCTGCACGGCTCGCCGTTCCAGGCGTCTCCTCAACCGTCGGTGTGGTCACAGTGGCTGTCGTTGTGGTGGTACTACTGCTCGCTGCTGAGGTCAGGCTTGCACGGTTGGAATGCGATCGACGCATCCCCTCCGACAGAGCTCGGCCCGCACGTAAGCTGCTTGAAGCAGCTGTAGCCGTCGTGGAGGTGGTGGTGGTGGCCATGGAGGTGAAGGGCACGCGTACACGCATATCTGGCAGCTCCCATTCCATATCCTCCTCCTCCTCTTCCTCGGAACTCGTCTCGGCAGTGGCCACAGCAGACGGAGTCTTGGACTTTTTCTGCCACTCGGCACTGCGCCTCAAGTCGATTGTCTTCAGCAGCGCCTTGGCCTCCGTCTTACGCTGAAAGGCAAACAGTCCAAATTATTCTTATTGTTCCCACTTCACTGGCAAATACCCACCTCATCAGAGTCCAAGCACTTGTACGCATAGTAGGCTGCCCTTTCGTAGTCTCCTTTCTTCTCGTAATAATTCGCCAGCGTCATGAAGCCTTGGTACAGACTCTGCTTGTCTGTGGCTGCCCGCTCATCCTCGCAGTACATGATGTAGCAATGGACCGCCGTCTCGTGATCGCCCAGCTTCTCGTGCAGACTGGCCAGCTTGTACATGGCTATGCCCTCGATGTCGCCCACATCGATGGCCTTCCAGTAGCACTTCACAGCGTTCTCACACTTGTCCAGCTTCTCGTACGTCTCGCCCAAGGCAACCAGCATGCGGGAGTCATATGGGCGTAGTTGATGGGCGATTTTGAAGTAGTACAAGCTGTAGTAATGCATTTTAATGATCTCATAGGCCTGCCCCAGCCCATACCATGCCCGATAGTCGCGCTTGTTTACCTCCACCGCTTTGCGGTAGCTTTGTATCGCAGCATTTGTGTTTTTCAGTTCCATAAACTCATGCCCCATCAGTGTCCAGGCAGCGAGGTACTTGGGATTCAGCTTCAAAGCGCGCTGAAAGTAGGAAATGGCCACCTGATGGTCGCAGCGTATGCTGTAGTAGTTGCCTGGGGAATTGCAGGGATGGATTATGGATGGATAACTTCAATGTGATGCGTTCAAAATGCTCTTACCTATCACACAGCATGTCTCCGGTCTGTACTTGTTAATGCTGACTGC